CTGTTGGAGAGTGAAGGGTAGGAGGAGGGAGAGGATCAGGAAAAATAACTAATGGGTACTAGGCTTAATACCTGGGTGACAAAATAATCTGTACAACAAACCCCCATGACACAAGTTTACCTATATAACAAACCTGCACATGTACCCCTGAACTTAAAAGTTAATAAAATAAAATAAAATAACAGATGCTGGCAAGTTTGCAGAGAAAAGGAAACACTCATACACTGTTGGTGGGAGGATAAGTTAGTTTAACCATTGTGGAAAGCAGTGTGGCAATTCCTTGAAGAGCAAAAAACAGGACTACCATTCAACTCAGCAATCCCATTACTGGGTATATATCCAAAGAAATATAAATCATTCCATAACAAAGACACAAGCATGTGTAGGTTTACTGCATCACTATTCACAATAGCAAAGACATGGAATCAACCTAAATGTCCATCAGTGATAGACTAAAGAAAATGTGGTACATGTATACCACTGACCACTATGCAGCCATAAAAAAGAACTAGATCATGTCTTTTGCAAGAACATGGATGGAGTTGGAGGCCATTACCCTTAGCAAATCAACACAGGAATAAAAAACCAAATACTGCATGCTCTTACAAGTGGGAGCTAAATGATGAGAACTCGTGGACAAAAATAAGGGAACAGCAGACACTGGGGCCTCCTTGAGGGTGGAGGGTGAAAGGAGGGAGAAGAGCAGAAAAAGTAACTATTGTGTACTAGGTTTAGTACCTGGGTGATGAAATAATCTGTACAACAAACCCCTGCAACGTGAGTTTACCTATGTAACGAACCTGCACACATGCTCCTGAACCTAAAAGTTTTAAAATGTTTTAAATAAAAAGATTAGATGCCAATTAAATGCAAGTTATATTCTATATGAAAAGGCCACAAAGATAGATGGATAGACAGAGAAATAGATGCATACCTAAATAGATTTCAAGTTCCCTTCATGAAATAATGTATAATGTAGAGGTAGACCCGGACAAGAAAGTAGATAACCCTAGTATGAGGCAGAAAATGGTCAGTGACATGACAGAGTCACAGATAAAGTCCTACAATGCTTCTTCTGTTTTTTTTTTTTTTTTTTGGAAATGGACTCTCGTTCTGTCACCCAGGCTGGAGTGCAGTAGCTCGAACTCAGCTCACTGCAAGCTCTGCCTCCCGGGTTCACGCCATTCTCCTGCCTCAGTCTCCCGAGTAGCTGGGACACAGGTGCCTGCCACCACGCCCAGCTAATATTTTGTATTTTTTAGTAGAGACGGGGTTTCACCATGTTAGCCAGGATGGTGTCGATCTCCTGACCTCGTGATCCACCCGCCTCGGCCTCCCAAAGTGCTGGAATGCTTCATTTTTTAAAAAAGGAAGGGGGAAACAAAAAACAAGCCAAAAAAATCCCAAAACAAACAAACAAAAGAGGACGGGAAGCTGACACTTACTATGCTCCAAGTTGTAGGCTACGTAGAGTGCAAACATTAGTGAGTCTTCCTTTCGTATGGCTAGTTCCTTCTTGTCCTTCTGGAGTTTGTTCAAGTGACACGTCGCCCAGGAAGCCTTCCTTGACCTTAACTCGCCCTGCCCTTCCTCTATGCGACCACAATCACAGCTTTATCACATCATAGCATAATTGTTGGTTTATTACCTATTACCCCAAAAGATGGCAAGCACCTGGAGATGGGGAACAATGTCTCATCTTTGTGTTTCTTCTGTATCTAACTTTGAGTCTAGAGTACATCAAGCCCTTAAGGAGGGAAGAGAGAAAGCAGAGAGGGAAATGAAGGAGGGAGGGAGATGGGCAGGAAGGGATGAAGTGCTATCAGAACATTCGGGGAAAAAGGGAACCATGTGACTAGTGTGAACTCTAAAAAATGAGAGGTGAGGTCCAGAAATTGCAGGAGTGCAGCTGAATTGTGTTAAAAGGATACCGGCAGGAAGGTGACAGGTGACAACTGTTGAACACAGAAAATGGAAAAGAATTTTGAGAGTCTTGAATGTCAGACTATGAGGGCTAAACTCATGCTGTAGATAGTGGAAAACCACTGGGAGTTGATGAGCAGGGAAGAGATGAGATCAGAGTGGAGTTTTAAGGAAATTAACCTGGCAGTGGGAATATCATCCTTTTTGAAAGTATATTCACTTTTTATCAGGAATTATCTTTGCCTTAATGCAAAAAATTAACCTCATGGGGTGGGTTTGAGCAGCCCTGATAAACATCTCATTTACCAAAGGAGCTCAATCCTGCATGTGCTATGTCAGCCCTGAGTAAAGTATCCTTTTTCTTTTCAAGTAATTAATCTTTCTACTACTCCCCAAGCCAGCAACTACATAATTTTGATGAAACACCTGAAACTAATTCTGAGCTGCTCCCCAAGGCCCAGTATGTAGTTACCAGCAAGTGCTCTTCCACAGCAAGGAGTGTAACTAGCAACTTCTAAATGAGATTGTCTTACAAAACAACATGTGCTGATAGAGATTTCAGTCGTTGTTTCTTCACTAGAAATGACTTTTACATGATGCATTCATCCAAAGAGAAAATATTTTTTCGATTTGTGGGAAATATTTTAACATTAAGTAATTAATTACAAAGAATAAAACAATACTACAAATTAGACCATCATCCTTTGACAATCATATATTATTCATTTTAACTGCCATAAGCCAGTTTCTATAACAATACACGTATACCAAATCGACAAGTGGTAACTTCAGACTATTTTAGATGAAAATTGTATCTTAAAATTGTAAAGTTGTATAAGTAAATATTAATGTTAAACATGCAAGTTCAGTTGATATTTTGTTTTTAATGACGTTTATTTTCTCTAATTTCCCAAATGTATTGCTGATCAAAAAAAATAATAATAATGCAAAGAACACACGTTTGCCAAGACAGTATTACTAAGCCATGCTAAATGAAAGGAGATAATTGAGTCTTTGATATTACCCAAATGGACTTCTGGAATTATCTTTTTAGAGACCGTATGTTCAATAATCAACAACTCAGAAAAGAAGAGGATTACCCTGATATTAAAATATTTTGAAGACAAAAGTAAACCAAGTTACTAGACATGAGCCATCTTTTAGCTTTTGTTTATAATCTCAAGGTAAATCATTGAGAATACTCAAGCTGAATGTATACCTAAATAAGAAATTAACTCACAGATTATCACTTTTTTATTGCTCCATATTTTGACAAAGCATTCTTTTCCAGCGTTCCTCCCTGGGTCAAAAGAAGGGCCAAAGAAAGTCGTTTCCCCATTCCTCATGCTATGATATAGGCTCTCCTCTAACAATTCTATGGGCTGTAAAAGTGTTGGGAAATGGATGTGTGAATAGATGCTTGCCCAGAAAGTCCTGGGAATACCACTGGCTCTCCAATAAAGGGGTCATTTTGAGCTTTGGTGAACCTTCAGGTAAACTTACTATTTAAATTACAGGAAGCTCGTTCCCTTTGTCTGGTCTAGAATTATCATTCTTACAAAAAAAAAAAAAAAAAAAAATCAGTAAATAAGTTCCCACCAGACTTGTCCTGCTAAACTAGTCATCACACTTTCACTTTCTGCTCCCATGAGCCTCCATGAATCTCTGCCCAGCTTGCTTAACTGAAATTCACAAACATCAAGTTATCTTGAAGAGAGAGTTCTTTCTGATCCTGTCAACTTCTAGAGTTAAATATACACAAGCATTTTTTACTTACCAGCATTTCTACAAATTCTGTTTTTCCACACATATTCATATACACGTAAATGTATATAGGTCATTTTCAAAGTTTCATATCTAGAAAAAGATTGAAAATATTTTATAACATTTTCACATGGAAATCAAATTCCAGGTAACTGTACATAATCAGAGGGCAAGTATCTATCAATCACTCAATTTATCCTAAAAAATCTTGCATTCTAATACCTACTCTAGGTAAACATCTGCTTTTTTGCTATTCATGTCTTCACTATATAATGTACTTAATAATTGCTTTGCCAACTCTTAATTTTTTTCTTTTTTTTCAAGCAGAAGGATGTTTTAAAACTCAGGTACTTTACCACGTATTCTCCCCCAGGAAAATCTGTAGCAGATAGATTTGTAGACTTGCCTTCTCTCTGGGAGAAACGTGTCTACTTCTACACATGTTCAAGAAAAAAACTGAGTTTTGTTGACATCGCAATTCCTTCAATATTCTCTGTATGTCACAATAAATTCTCTTCCAAACCCCCTGCTCCATGAGTTGTAATTCTCACCTCAATCAGAGAAAAGTTGTGTATTTCAGAGATACATTAACAGAATGTAGAACAAAATGTCTCTCTTGTTCCCCATGAAGTGATTTTGTTTTAGGTAAATTTCTAGATCAGACATCCATGATGTAAGAACGACGACATTCAAGAACTAAATTTGTTTATCTCTATATTTTTTTTTAATTGAGTTGGTGTCTCTCTCTGTCACCCAGACTGGAATGCAGTGGTGAGATCTCGGCTAACTGCAACTTCCGCCATCCAGGTTTAAGCGATCCTCTCACCTCAGCCTCCTGAGTAACTGGGACTACAGGCATGCACCACCACTCCTGGCTAATTTTTGTATTTTTAGTAAAGATGGGGTTTCACCATGTTGTCTGGGCTGGCCTTGACCTCCTGACCTCAAGTGATCCACCCACCTCGGTGTCCCAAAGTGGTAGGATTACAGGCATGAGCCACTGCATCCAGCCTTATCTATCATTTTAGATAACTGGCTCCTACTGTATCCTCTATTGCATAGTCCTTATGCCAAAGTATTTCAAAATGTTTGAATGAAATAGGTTTTAATTTCAATAGTAAAAGATATTCTGGTTCATGCTAAATGGTATCTGATAGTACAAGATTTGATATACCATGCTAAGACTACACCACCAAAACCCAAATCCTCAATGTGACCCGAGAGTATTAGGCAGCTGCTACAGGAGCAACCTGAAAGGGAATGTTGAACCACATCATCGTTGCAGCTTCGAAGGACACATGTAAATCACAACTCTAGTCATCCAGAACAATTGACACTGTGGTATTGTGAAGCTCACTGCTCACAGAAGCTGAGGTCAGTTGGATGCTCTTATCTGTGGCAGAGACTCTTCCACCAACAATTTCATCAGTGTTCCTCTGTGGCCTCAGCAAAATAATGAAGCACTTAGAAGCAAACATACAACCCAACAAACCATAGCTGAATGCTGAGATTGCAAATATTTACACAGCCACTTTGAACTTGCCTTTGGTGCTCAAATAAGCAGGGACAAAAGAGATCCAGACGATGAAAAAGACGAGCATCCCAAAGGTGACGCATTTTCCTTCATAGTAATTATCTGGCAACTGGCAAGTCACAAAAGTTGTAAGAAAACATAGCGAGGCTAGGAAGACATCAATCCCAAACATCGAGCACAAAAACTCTATGGAACCTTCATTGCATCCCAGAATGATCTTTGCATTTTGAGGTTCCATGTTCTTGTATACCCTGGGAGGTTCCAATACCAAGTAGGCTGTACATATGTCAATCTCAAATAAAACAGAGATTAGCACAATGATTATCTGATAAAGCAGGTGCATGGATGTAAGTCGAGTTTTGGATTTGGAAATTCTGTAGGCTAAAAACAGTGAAATAGTCTTTCCAAGAATGCAAGACAGGCAAAGAGAAAAGCCCAGTGCCAGAGTGACCTGGTGGGCCATGCAGTACCAATTGTGTGGCTTGCCAGTGGAAAGCATGGACGACAGCAGCGTGATGATCAGAGAAAACTGAATGAGAAAACTCAGCTGCTGGTCATTGGCATTCACAAGGGGAGTGTGCCTGTGTATCACATACACAGTTGTGATTGCCAAGACCACAGATGCCCCAAAGACAGAAAGAATGACAGGCGTGAATCCCAAGGCCTCATCATAAGCAAGGTATTCCACCTGTTTCGGCACACACTTGCTCTTTTGTGCATTTGACCAATAGTCTTCATCACATTGTTCACACTCCCTTTGACCTATTGAATAAAGAACAGAGAACTGACTGCAAAGAAATCCAATTGTCCCCTTCCACTGTGAATATCCCAGAGCCTTCATAGTTCTAGAGTGGGGTCTTGTTAAAAATCCCTTTATGTAGCATATATATAGTATCTCAAAAGAAATAGTGATAAAATGGCCTTAAAGTGTACAGATAATATTACAGATTGATAATTATTTTCAGTTTTGGAAAGTCAGTCTCCCTTCTCAGTTTCAGCCTTTCCTGCACTGGCCTTTTCCAGTAACAAGCTTCTTTCTTACTACTCCAGTTAGCTAATTGAGAAGAGTGGTGTGTATCCTCATAAACCCAAGAACAATCCACAAATGAAAAAAATGTAAAAAAAATTAAAGCTACTGAGGCAAAACAATCGAGAGAATTGTGACAGGAGTAAGGTTGATGAAAATACAAATGTTTTCTGTCTTTCATTCAATATCACCCTTATGAAAGAGAATTTTGTCTTTGCTTACTCAGAGCTTTTCCCCTCTTCACCCTCCAGATGCAGATTTGAAGGAATAGGTAGAGTAATTGAGGATAAGAAGAAAAACAAGGCTGGGCACAGTGGCCCAGGCCTGTAATCCCAGCACTTTGGGAGGCTGAGGTGAGTGGATCACTTGAGCCCAGGAATTTGAGACCAGCCTGGGCAACATGGCAAAACCTTGTCTCTGCCAAATAATAAAAAAAATCAGCCAGGCGTGACAGTGCATGCCTGTAGTCCCAATTACTTGGGAGGCTGAGATGGGAGGATTACTTGAGCCCAGGAGGCTGAGGTTGCAGTGAGCCAAGATAGTGCCACTAAACTCCAGCCTGGGTGACAGTGCAAGACTCCAACTCAAAAAGTGAGAGAGTGGGAGAGAGAGAGAGAGACAAAGAAAGAAAAGAAGAAGCAGCAGCAGTGGAGGGGGAGGGGAAGGAAGAGGAGGAGGAAGAAGAAGAAAATGAGGAGGAAGAAGAAGAAAATGAGGAAGAAGAAGAAGGAGAAGGAGTAGGAAGGGGAGGAGGAGGGGCAGGAGAAGGGAAAAAGGAGAAAGAGAAGAAGATGGGGAAGGGGAAGGAGAAGAAGATGGGGAAGGGGAAGAAGAAGGAGAAAAACCTACATGGTGCTTGACACTGAGAAGATCTGGAGCATTTAGCTGGGTGGAAGCTATAAGGGAGAATGTCAGAACATAAGACTATTTGATATGAGTTTATAGTAGACTGTGAAATTGATTTCTTTAATGTTCTTTGAAAGATACAGGAAAGATTGCAATTCCTGTTTAATCACTTTTTACTGCTGTATTGGACTTCCCTGGATGTAACTCTATGCAGAGAGTGGGCTGTGTGGGGTCCAAGGAGTTGTTCAGGTTACATAGTTCTTGTTTTCCATTTTGGGAAAATGTTACTTTTTTTTTTTTTTTTTTTTTTTGAGACAGAGTCTCACTCTGTTGCCCAGGCTGGAGTGCAGTGGCCGGATCTCAGCTCACTGCAAGCTCCGCCTCCCAGGTTCACACCATTCTCCTGCCTTAGCCTCCTGAGTAGCTGGGACTACAGGCACCCACAACCACACCCAGCTAATTTTATGTATTTTTAGTAGAGACGGGGTTTCACCATGTTAGCCAGGATGGTCTCGATCTCCTGACCTCATGATCCACCTGTCTCGGCTTCCCAAAGTTCTGGGATTACAGACGTGAGCCACCGTGCCTGGCCCTCAAAATTCTTTTATAAAGAATTGCTATTGAGGGCCATTTGACAAAAGACAAGTACACTTTGTGTTATCTTTAACAGAAGGTAGAGATAAAAATAAACCTGCTCCAACATGCTTCACAAGACCGAGCACACTGAGCCCAATTAAAATTCTGGTCATTAAGAGCAGCAATTTGGCAGGCCATAGTGAAGAATTCATAGAGCAGGGGTTACAGAAATCATGTGTCCTACAAATTTTGAGTACTGATGACTTTAAGCCAATTGCCTTTAGGGATGAAATTTCAGATCTTATAACTCCAAATTAGAGCTAATTCAATAAAACATAGTACAATATACGTCCCCTGTCTTCTGATTATGAATATAACTAGCATTTAATTTTTTCAGAAACAAACACTTTAAAATATTTTTTATGAATCCTACTCATATTTCATATTTCATATATTTTATTTTGCATTTTCCTCTATTAACTTCAAGGTTGTAGGTATTTTCCCAACTGTAGCAGCTTTAGAACTGAAACACAATACTATGTTTCTTTCACAGTGCACAAAGCATCCAATAATGTGAAGGATTTTAATTATTTTTGTTATAAGTTGTTCATACCTATTTATAAAGAAAGCTCCTGAGGCCTTCTTTGCAAAAACATGTTTGATCTAAAAGCATCCTCATATCAATGAAGAAATTACCATCTCTACCTGGTTTCTGTGACACGTGTCCATCAGCCATGGGACGGAGTCAAAGCAGCATATTTGTTCCCCCTGACGAATCCCCTTCCAAGTCCCAGGAGCACATGCATCAGTACACACTGAATGAGGAAGCTAGCAAAGACAAATATGACAGATTAACAAAGCCCTTTGTCTCTAGCACTCATGAGGCTGAGAAAGAGCCCATTTGAATTTCCATGGAAGCTTTGTGATTTCCGGGAAACCCAGGATACCTGAGTGAAGATAATGAACAAAGAAAATAACAACATGGAGAACCTAGAGAGGAATTTTGCTAAAAGAGAGTCTCATTGTTGATTCTAGAAATGCAAAGCTAATCCTAAGCCTACTTCTTTCTAACCTTGGGGATCCAGACCAGGCTCCATGCCTACAGGACTCTGGGGATGAGACCATTTGACAGGTCTGTTCCTGCTTGTGAAGGAGGAGGGCAAAAGGAAAAGCAGACAAGGCATAGCATTGAAATATTTTCTCGCTAAATGAATTTCAAAATCTCAGTAGTAAACACAGGCCTCCTTTTACATTCTACACGGATGTGTGCCTTGAAACCCAGAATAAATGCAGGTTTTTAAATAGTTTGTTTCTTAATCCATTAGGGAGTTTCCTGTTTAAGAAATAAAATGCTTTTCCATTAAGCAAAGAATCATTTTGGAAGATGCATGATTACATTTATATTTATTTTACAAATCAGAATTTTCATATGTTGAGTTTTCCAGGTAAATCTGAATTAGATAATATAGAAAATACTAGAAATCTCTGAGCTAGGTTATGGTACGTAATGTTACAGAAGTATGTACACACAGTAGATAAGCTTCTTATATGTTTCATACATATACATCTGTAAAATCATATTTTAAATGCACTTTGAGGAGTACCTATTACAGTAAGGAGTGATAGCAAGGCATTCTCAAATTCTGAAAGATGAACAATAAAATCACCACAGAATGAACTAGAATTCCTCACCCCGATCCAGTCTTCAAGAAATAGCTCTCGATGTTCCTTTATTATTATTATTATTATCATTATCATTATTTCATTAACAATGAGCTGATACCTTTTCGTTCCATTTATCAGTATTCCTTCCCTTCTCAATCTCTGTGATCTATCTGCCAACCCACTCACCTCACTAAAACTCTTCTTGCCATGTCTGAGAGATTTTCCTCTAGCCACATTTTCCTTCAGCTTTCTTCAATACCTGACACTTTTGGTCAACCCCTCCTTGAAACGCAAGCTCCCTTGGGTTCCCTTGGGTCCTGGTTGTGGTCCTTGATCCTCTGGTTTTCTCTCTTACTGTAAGCAGTTCCTTCATTCTATTGTCTTCCACCAGTATCTCTGTAGAAGAACTCCCAAATCTTGATCTCTAAGACCAACCTTTCCCACTTGACCTCTATCTAGTTCCATATTCTGAACTTCCAATATGTTCCTACATTAAGATTCCACCATCATCTCAAATTCAACATGTCCAAAACTATCCCATAAAGCCTATTCCTCATTTCTGTCATCAACACCACCATTCCTATCCATCATCTCCAACCTTATATTCTATTACTTGCCTGTATGGACTCTCTCTTCCACTCAAGTCCACCTTCTCACCAACCACCAGACTCAGTTTACCATGATGACTTAAATCATTCTTTGTATTGTCCTCTAATTGTCTGATGTAAAAAAAAAAAAAACACTTCCAGGTCCAACCAGTCAGCAAATTTGATGTCTTCTACCTATAAGGTATCCATGAGATGTCCAGAATCTAATGACTTTTTGCCACCTCCATCACTTCTATCCTGGGCCAGGCTACCTTCATTATTTTGGATGATTTTATGGTCTTTTAACTGTCTCCTTAGTTCTGTTCTTGCCCCCATACCCTACTCCTTCCACTGATTTGCAACATGGCAAACAATGATACCTGAGTCGGATCATGGCCCTCCTCTGTCAAGATTTTCATGGTTTCCCCTCTCACTCAGTGTAAAAGCCAAAGGCCTTCAAAAGTCAACAGGGCCCTGCATGATCTGTCCCTCTCTTACCTCTCTCACCTCCTTTCCTGCTCTCCCTCTCTTTCACTCTTTCCAGTCACACTGACTTCTTTACTGTTCCTCCAAAGTGCCAAGCACACATGCCTCAGGGTTTAGAAGATGCTGTTCCCTCTGCTGGAAATATTCTTCCCCTAGGTAATGCATGAACACATTTTCATTTGAATTTCTGTTCAAATGTCACTCTAGCGAGGCTTTCCCTGACCACACTATATGAAATTTCAGTGCAATACTCCCACCAGCACTCCCTATCTCAGTCCTGCTATTTGTTTCTCCCTGACATTAACATCCTTTAAGATACAGTATAATGTCTGTATTTGTCTTGTTTGTTGCCTACTTCCTTCCACTGAAATGGTAATCCCATTAGGCTGGGATTTGTTCTGTTTTGCACATTGACGTATCCTCAGTTCCTATGCATATATGCTACTGTTCTCAACAAATATTTACTCAGTTAATTAGGGGCAATTGCCTTATTTTTGCAATGTTTAACCCAGAGTTGGATTTATAGTAGATGCTTAGTAAATTTGTATTGAATTACATTTGAAGTAATTTCATTATACAAACCTAATCCCAATTTTAATATAGAAGATAAGAAAAATAAATTACTATACCCTAATGAAGATTATTAAAAGAAAAATCTACTATTAGATTTTACTATTTTTCTGTCAATTTTCAGTAGAGCAAGCATTCTTTGAACCATGTATATGCAAAGAATAACATCTTCCTTTTCATGTAAAACAATATATTGGGGAACTACTATATACCTAACCAAAAGGAATACAAAAGTGAAGTCTCAAGCCCATTCATCAAGTAGCTCACCATTCAGAGAGAGCTCTGGGCCACATAAGATGGCTTATAGCCTAGACTTAGGGCAGCTCTGTCCTTTCTGCAGTGACAGAAGTGTTACATATCTCTGTTGTTCTGTATGGTAGCCCCTAGCTACATTTGGATATTGAACACTTGAAATGTAGTTAATGTGACTAAGAGCTGAATTTTCCTTTTATTTTTATTTTAAATAATTTGCATTGTAAAGCTATCTGTGGCCAGGCGTGGTGGCTCACGCCTGTAATCCCAGCACTTTGGGAGGCTGAGGCGGGCAGATCACGAGGTTAAGAGATCAAGACCATCTGGCTAACATGGTGAAACCCTGTCTCTACTAAAAATACAAAAATTAGCCGAGCGTGGTGGTGCACATCTGTAGTCCCAGCTACTCAGGAGACAGGCAGGGGAATCGCTTGAACCCAGGAGGCAGGGGGGCAGTGAGCCGAGATTGCACCACTACACTCCAGCCTGGCCACAGAGCGAGACTCTGTCTCAAAAAAAAAAAAAAAAAAGCTATCTGTGGTTAGGTACTACTGTATTGGGCAGAGCAAATTCTAGATCAAAGGCATAAAATGCTGCAGAGAGCTCTGGTCACTACAGTGGTAAACACTGACAAGTGGCTGTTTTTACATCTAGCCAAAATATACTCAAGTGCTGCTTAAAGATAGACCAATAAACTACTGAGTATGTGTGCATGTCTGTATTCTTCTGTGAGCGTACATAAGTCAATAGATGTTTATTGCTACACATAGAAAGCAGAGAGGAATAGTCTGACAGACAAAGATCTCACAGGTGTCTGGTACAGCATACCAACTCAGAAATCTTGAGGGTTTTTTTCCTACTATTTTTAGATGCTTTCCCAGCATGATTTGGAAGACTGTTTGGGGATCTCAGATCTGAGCTCAAGAGGGAAAATACATGAAAAATAAACAAGATGAAAAAAGACACCCTTTCCTCCAAAAGAAAGTCCTGTGTCAGCAAACAAAAAGCATTCTCTGGCTATGCTGACATCACTTTCATCTCTCTCACTTTTCCTGGTTCTTTCATTCTGAGATTCACACAGAAGATGAAATTGCCAATTCTTTTTCACTACCTTATCAATTGACTGTAACTCTACATGTCATCCCGAAGTAAACATAGAACTGGATTATCCAAAGCTCTACAGTACTGGGCCGGGCACAGTGGCTCACACCTGTAATCCCAGCACTTTGGGAAGCCACAGCGATCATTTGAGGCCAGGAATTCGAGATCAGCCTGGGAAACATGGCAAAACTCTGTCTCTACTAAAAATACAAAGCCTGGCATGGTGGTGCACACCTGTAATCCCAGCTACTCAGGAGGCTGAGGTAGGAGGATTGCTTGAACCTGGGAGGTGAAGGTTCCATGAGCCAGGATGACGCCACCACACTCCAGCCTGGGCAACAGAGTGAGACTTCATCTCAAAAAAATGAAATACAATAAATTAAAACCTCTATAGTTCTGCTTTCCTGAACTAATATTTCATTGAGGGTAAAAAGTTTCACTTCTGGTAAGTGAAGGGGTTTCTTCTTAACCTCTGGGAAGTAACAGAGTTTTCCTTTAACTTTCCCCAACACTTCTCTAGGTGTTGTCTTTACATTGTGTAAAGTCTCTAGCTCACCAACCCCTTCCCTTATAAAATGTTCAGACCTCCTGCAGTCTTGCAATCAACAGCTCTCTTGTTGCTATAGGAGGAAGAGGAAGAAAAATGATCATAATCATTATCAATAAAATAAATAAATAAATAAATAATAATAATGAAAAGTAATTTCATTATTTTTATCTGGGGTAAGCATTTTACATTTAAAAACAGTTCATCTAATATTGAAACCCTACTTCTACTACCTTCCAGGATAATTTTGGGAAATTATTTTTTAAAGAATTTTAAAGCTTATGAAACTCTTTTTTTCTCATATAAAATACCAACATAGGATGTTTTGAAGGATATACTGAAGTGTATTAACATGTATGTGCCTCCATTCATATATCATACTGGTAACCAATGTTTCCTACTTCAAATTATATTATGAACTTGTAAATTTTCTATCCTATTTTTTGTCCTGGAGAATGAATAAGAAGAAAGAAGAAAACAGGGAGGAAGAAATGAAGTCCCTCTAGAACTACTGTTGGAATGGAAGGGGAAGACCTCTGGGTGCCCCAGGGTAATAGTAGCTGTCAAACTGTGGTTCTGTCCATATATTCTCCAAAAACACCATACATATTTTTTTAAGTGAGGAGAATAAATGAATAAATAAATAAAGCCACACATGGCCCATAACCAACATCACAAAGAGCCTGAGAATACTATGAACTTCAAAGTACTTGTAAGTAAAGAAATAACCAGCTGGGCACAGAGGCTCATGCCTGTAATCCCAGCACTTTGGGAGGCCGAGGCGGTTGGATCATGAGGTCAGAAGTTCAAGACCAGGCGGAGCAAGATGGCCAAATAGGAACAGCTCCAGTCTCCAACTCCCAGCACGAGCGACACAGAAGACCGGTGATTTCTGCATTTTCAACTGAGGTACTGGGTTCATCTCACTGGGGAGTGCCAGACCATCAGTGCTGGTCAGCTGCTGCAGCCCGACCAGCGAGAGCTGAAGCAGGGCGAGGCATTGCCTCACCTGGGAAGCGCAAGGGGGAAGGGAATCCCTTTTCCTAGCCAGGGGAACTGAGACACACAACACCTGGAAAATCGGGTAACTCCCACCCCAATACTGCGCTTTAAGCAAACAGGCACACCAGGAGATCATATCCCACACCTGGCCGGGAGGGTCCCACACCCACGGAGCCTCCCTCATTGCTAGCACAGCAGTCTGTGATCTACCGGCAAGGCAGCAGCGAGGCTGGGGGAGGGGCGCCCACCATTGCTGAGGCTTAAGTAGGTAAACAAAGCTGCTGGGAAGCTCCAACTGGGTGGAGCTCACAGCAGCTCAAGGAAACCTGCCTGTCTCTGTAGACTCCACCTCTGGGGACAGGGCACAGTAAACAATAACAAACGCAGCAGAAAGCTCTGCAGATGCAAACGACTCTGTCTGACAGCTTTGAAGAGAGCAGTGGATCTCCCAACACAGAGGTTGAGATCTGAGAAGGGACAGACTCCCTGCTCAAGTGGGTCCCTGACCCCTGAGTAGCCTAACTGGGAGACATCCCCCACTAGGGGCAGTCTGACACCCCACACCTCACAGGGTGGAGTACACCCCTGAGAGGAAGCTTCCAAAGCAAGAAGCAGACAGGTACAATCGCTGTTCAGAAATATTCTATCTTCTGCAGCCTCTGCTGCTGATACCCAGGCAAACAGGGTCTGGAGTGGACCTCAAGCAATCTCCAACAGACCTACAGCTGAGGGTCCTGACTGTTAGAAGGAAAACTATCAAACAGGAAGGACACCTACACCAAAACCCCATCAGTACATCACCATCATCAAAGACCAGAGGCAGATAAAACCACAAAGATGGGGAAAAAGCAGGGCAGAAAAGCTGGAAATTCAAAAAATAAGAGCGCATCTCCCCTGGCAAAGGAGCGCAGCTCATCGCCAGCAACGGATCAAAGCTGGACGGAGAATGACTTCGACGAGATGAGAGAAGAAGGCTTCAGTCCATCAAATTTCTCAGAGCTAAAGGAGGAATTACGTACCCAGGTGCCAGAGCAAAAGAAACAAAAATCTTGAAAAAGTGGAAAAGAATTGATGGCTGGAAGTAATTAATGCAAGAAATCTTTGAAATGAAAGAATACCAAAACATGCGAGAAATATGTGAAAAGTACAAACTTCAGTAACTTGACTCGATCAA